CCTCAGAGAGTTTCATTCATATACCAAAATCTTGGTAACAATATTCACACTTTAGTATGTGGTTTTTCTCTAGCTTGCCTCATAAAAAAGATGCACGCACGTGCATGTCTGTCTCACTGTCTGTAATTTCTATTTGTAATATGAGGAATCACTTCATTTATATGTGTTTTTTCTCTAGTTTTCCTCATTATGTACGCACGTGGATAAGTAATGATACTCAGGTGCACACCCTCATGGTCCACTTAGTGCGGGTGCAAAATTTCAGGTTTCTAGGTTCTTTCCACTTGGAGCTATTACGTAACTTTATATATATAAAATCACCTTTAATCATTTCAAAATTACCTTGAACTTACAAAAATATACACTATTTAATTTTTTGGAGAATTGCAAAACATTTTTTCCACACTTATAATTATTATTTCATTTATCTTATAATTACGAACATTTCACCAATTGCTATTTCCCATCACAGGCAAAAATGGCCGGGCGTGGCTTATTAATCTTCTTGCCAGGCCAAGGATCTGAACATAAACGCCGGAACAGGGCGAGGTGGTGCTTTACCCTCCTCCCCCAATGGATTTCGTTAGGTTTGATATCTTGTCAACTTCAGTTTTTCGTCGAAAATAGTGATTCATTATAAATGGATAAATATTATAAAATTATTTAGTAGCCACAGATAAAAAAAATTACGCTAAAAATGAAGTTCCAATAAGTTGATTATTAAACTGCTTATTATCCCCGCCCGTCAGCAAAAGTGGTTATTGTTTTCACTCCCGTGTGCGTGTGTTAACAGTATAACTCGAAAAGCTTTCATCTGATTTTGAGAAAATTTGGTACAACACAACAGATGAATGTCCCCAAGGGCTAATTAATTAATCTTTGGCGGATGTAGGTCAAAGGTTAATGTCACACTGAAGATCAACCACATTATTCAAAATGTTTTCACCCGATTTTATCAAATTTGATACAACGGTTAAGGGTCTCACGGATTAATTTTTAGTGAATGTTTGACAATAGTTATACGGAAGGTCAACTACTTTTATTACAGTGGTAGTAAATTGGGATTTTGGAAAACATACAGCTGGGTGATAAAATATTAAATACCTTCAATGTCTCTGTATTTCAAATATCGATCGTTCTTCGATGCCTTGAACTACAACCTGTAAGATCATTGGATTCTATCTTGTCATTCTCTATGCATCTTGAAGCGTGCTTAATATTAAGTGATTATTTTTAGGCATGCCACACTTAATGATAACTGTGGTACTGTCGATCACTGGATGGTTAACTTGATCTTTATATACCTTGAACATTTTTATGCAAAGTGTCATGGGCGTCCCCGGAAATTTTTCTGGGGCAAAGTAGTGTGAAATTAGGAATTGAATACAAAATTAATATACATATGCTGATTGAATAAAGAAAGAATTATGCCCCCCCCCCCCTTCACGAACGCCCATGGAAAGTGGTCATTCTTTAATCATACCGAATAATGTTATACTTTGTTAGCTAGTCACTGATGAGGTACCTCAAACAATGCTAGGCTGTACACTGGTTAATTTTAAGGTCCTTAAAGAACGCTAGTCAGTAACTTATCATCATTTTGCTAAGCTGAACAATACTGGGCTGTAACTGGAGATTCCTATACTTACTTGAACAATGCTGGATTGTAAGGCTTTAGCTACCTATAACAATACTGGTCTATTTGAGGACGATCATATGGTTTTACTCGAGTATTCACACAATTGACTTGAAAGAGAAATATTTCCAACATTTTTTTTTTTTTTATTGTTTCAGCAAAAGTGTACATGGTTTTTCACTATAAGTTCAGACACATGTATTTATATAAAACTTCACATCATGTCTTTAGATTTAAAAAAAAATTCACCAAAATGTACATGAAAATTGTACTAAAGACAGAAATTAGAAGTAATGTATTCCTTGACTGTCCATGATAAACTTTCAACTAGACCACACATTATTCCATGACACTAATACTATACACCTTACAAGACATTTTCAATCACTTGACGTCAATGCTAGATGAAAGTAAAGAATTAAAGGATTTACTTGTCTCTCATCATCTATATATATTTTTCACCAGACTTGTATAATCAGCTCTTTAAATAAAGTACACGTACTTATCCATAATTATGTGTGCCTGTTTATGATTAATTTGCAGTTAAAAAATTACTGGTACACTTAATTTCACAATAAGGAAAATTGGCCACTATTCATGCACTATGTACACGTAGTTTTCTTACCCAAACATTTCCAATACACGGAGAACATTTAATAACTGGATCTAACAAACGTAATGATGAAATTTCACATACATGGTAAGAACACCAAATTCTATACAAAGTGATATAGAAACGTTGTCATGTTTTTCTAAAAGCATAATACATCTCCAGTGGCTTGTTGATTTTCCAGTACTTGTCGTTCACTTGGTCTAGGCTCATATTTCCATTCAGAGGGTGAAACTGACCTTGTGTCACAGCCATGTATATAATAACCGGAGAACTCTCAGGAGGAGACTGCATTCCATACTCATCAGAATGTTTGTCCAGAGCAAACCTCAGGGCAAGGTACTTACACAGGTGGTCAACTAAGAAAAATAATATAATTTCTGATTTAGCCATTTATCATACATTATTATAAGATGAAAAAAAAAGGGAGATACTGATATTATTCATGTTAGAAACATCATTAGAAATGCTAAAAGAGAAAACAAACAAACAATTAATTGAAAATGGTGCAAAATTCATCATAATATCTTTTTCAATAAGTCATGTTCTAGCCATATTTTATTTAGATGACAACAAGTTGCTTTGATTAGTTTTACTGAAACAGTTTGAGTTCTTTGGAATTTCATGCAAAGCTATACAAGGGCTATTTGCACTAGCTGTTCATAATTTAGCAGTAAAAGACTAGAGGGAAGTCATCATCTCTCACCACCAACTTTTTTTACCAACAAATAGTGAGATTGACTGTTACATTATAATGCTCCCACAGATTGCAATTCGAGCATCCTAATCACCTGGCTGTACTGGGTCCTACTGAAACACGAGAGAAATAGTTTGTATAGTTTAAGGAATTTGAGAGACGAAGTCAAAATCTGAACATGTAGTATGAAATATTCAGTCGGTAAAAATGAAAAGAAAACAAGCTACAAGTATTCTGAATCGTAACCCACTAGTGTTGTTCTGAGTCGTAACCCACTAGTAGTCCCCAAGAGGTATTGGGATTGATCACAAAACAAGTCACAGGTGTAGCTAGAATTAGTTCCTTAAAGAAGTGGTTCCCAAATTCTGAGTCATAACCCACTAGTGGTCCCCAAGAGGTATTGGGATTGATCACAAAACAAGTACTGGTGTAGCTAGAATTAGTTCCTTAAAGAAGTGGTTCCCAAATTCTGAGTTGTAACCCACTAGTGGTCCCCAAGAGGTATTGGGATTGATCACAAAACAAGTACTGGTGTAGCTAGAATTAGTTCCTTAAAGAAGTGGTTCCCCAAATTCTGAGTCGTAACCCACTAGTGGTCCCCAAGAGGTATTGGGATTGATCACAAAACAAGTACTGGTGTAGCTAGAATTAGTTCCTTAAAGAAGTGGTTCCCAAATTCTGAGTCGTAACCCACTAGTATAACATATAATTTTATTCTAAAATCATTTATGATCCTAAAATGTTTTTGAACAAACAAGACAAAAACACAAAATATAAAAGTGTCAGAACATTAAGTATATATATATATATATATATATATATATATGGGTGTGGGCCAAAGATTCTTCTATAGTAGGTGTCTGTGACTTGTTGGCGATAAATTCAAACAATAAATGGACAGCACGCACTTCACTTGTTTTAAAATAGCTCACTTAGGCTAATTCAATTGCTTTAGAATCCAGCTGACAAGCCAAACTATTTTTCTCTACTTTTATCACAATAGTATCAGTTATGCTGCCTCACGGGTTAACACAATTGAATCCTGAACTTGAAATAATTGTCTCTTTTCGTCAAAGTCCACACAGGTGGGTTCAATTAGTTTAGAACACTCTTTGACAAGATAAATTATTCTCTTTGTCTCTATCAAACTGTTAATCCCACTTTAAAATATCAACCGTTAAAACTATTCACTCCCACGATGGCAAACTTCATGTTTTTTAACTTTTCTCTGACTGTACTTTTCTTTCCCTTTACTTTACTTTTACTCTGTTCCCTCTCATTTTGTTGCTGCTATTTATATTTTTATCATTGAGGCCTCTAGAATTTTCTATAGCCTCAACACCAATGAATTGCAAACACAACATACGACTCTTACCGAGTTACGTAACTAAACTTGTCATAACTATTGCCTTTAAAATAATTGCTGTTAATTCTCTTGTTATGAAAAACTCAACAATCACTAAATATTACTTCACAAAATAAAATAAATAATAATGCCTACACTACACAATCTTGTATATCTAACAGTAAGCAACACAACTAAATAAACTTCAACCTTTGGTTAGTATTCACAACTATGGGGAAGATTTCTGAGGTTCTGGTTATGGGAGATGTGCTTGTAATATTTTATGTACAGAATGAGAAATGAACTAGAGTAGTAGAGTCCAGGATGTTGTGAATAAAATGTAGTACATACTTCAGATGTAAGTACGAAGTAAAACAACCCTACAAGAAACTAAAAAATAATTCAAGGAGATTTTTAGCTACATTTGGTTACCTAATGGGTTTAAACATTAAAAAAAAAACACTTCTTCAAGCAAGGTAGGGCAAGAAGTTTTAACTGGATGCACGAGCATTTGTTTCAATGAAAAGTAAAGCATTTACATCTGAGAGACAAGTTTGAAAAATATGGAAAAGATGTGTGCTAAAAAGGGGTTACATTTAAAGATAATAAAATGTTGAGTTACGAGCTCTAAATGATTTAGTTTGAAAACTATGACAACAGTAATGATGATTTTTTTTCACTGAAGGTTTCAAGATGGTTTATTTGAATCTCCAGCCACGTTTTGAAGTAAATACAAAAAGGAATACTAACTTCATACAAAATTTTAAATATTTTTTAGAAATATAATCAACCAAAAGGGCTAACTTTTTGCACAAAGCTATACGAGGATTATCTGCACAAGCTCTCCATAACACCGAGCTGATAAGACTAGAAAAAAAAGTAGCCAGTCAACAGTACACATTATCAACTCTTGAAGTGTTCTTGTCTTACCAAATATTGGGATTTGATCATCATTATTACAGGAACCTCATGGCCTCAAAGTGTGGAACACATTTTCATGGCATTGAACCATGAACCTTTGAATTTACAGTCTGGGAATACTAGCTTCTAGGTCATGCTCAAATATGATTTCTTATATATAATTAAAGGTGCACATGCACCTTGATGGATCAATGTACTTCTGGTATCTTGCTCAATATTATGTAACTGTATGGACTGTCTTGATATATGTTAACAAAAATAACTTACAATTAACATTCTCTGGAAAAGCATCAGTTCTTTTTCCCATTTCTCAATACAGGAGCCTACATGTCTAAAGAGATATAAAGATGGATCCATATAGTAAGGTAAGAAATGCTGGTATGGATCAGCAAAGCAATGTAGAAAGTGCAGGAATGGATCAGTTAAATCATGTACGGAACACAGGGATGGATTAGTATAATAATTAACTTTAACTTCTAATCAGAGCAAGCAAATCAACCTGGCATTAATATAGCTAATTAAATATACATTTCTTACGTTTCTACTTAAAGAATAGAATGCATCGTTTCATCAGTTGGACACCCTCATTGTTAACAGTATTTTTGGTTGTAAAATCAATAATATCTTGTGAGGTTCAACCAGCTTAGGAGATTTAGGTTAGTCCTTAATATATAGTTAAGCTAAAAAATACAAGACAATCTATAATAATAAATAAAAAAGTAATGTAATATATTCAATGATGAATAGTTATAGTAAGGGATGGAATTTGGGGATTTATTAGTATAACATAGTGAAAAATGATACATTTTGGTTTGTCACATTTCATATATGTGGTTTAAGAGACCTTGTTGGGCTATTTAATGATGAGAAAAGGTCTTAAGACTTTGAGAGATAATGACTTGACTTTAAAAAATATCAGGTAAATATATTTCAGATATTCTAACAAGGAATTAGAACAGAAGCTAGCTAGAAGTCTTTTCAGCCTGATACCCACCAATTCTTCTTCTTTCAAAAGAAAGTAATTTCAGAGATCTTAACCAGTTATCTTATGACAACTTTTCCATTTCAATTATCATTCTAGTAGCATATCTCTGAACCATTTCCAATAATTCAATGTCTTTGCTACGGTAAGGCACCCAAAACTGAACACAATGTTCCAAATGTGGTTTAACCAATGATCCATACAATGAAATTATACCATCTTTAGAATTGTATTCAATATCTCTGTAGATACAACCTAAAATCCTATTTGCCCTGCCACTAGCAACAGCTCAATGCTTGGATGGCTTAAGAGACTGATCGACTAGAACACCAAAGACAATTAACAAGATACCGTTAGATTATGAAATTGTCAAAATATTAAGAAGTGGATAGGAATCACTTGCTTGGTGGAAGAAAGCTGAAAACAGTGATTAACATGTACATTATTCTTCGTAAAATAAAATACCACCCGATATTGTTTTTATACAGAATGTTTGTCATATTTAACAATACTTTTAGTTATTAACATCAAAAATTCCATAAATCATCAAGTTACTTTTAAATTCAACCATAGTATTTTAGCCACAAATTACATAATCTAGTTGATAAATAATTGAATAATAATAACAATACCTGTGGCATTGGCCGTGGTTTTGATGTAACGCACTTGGGTCAGGTTTGGTTCAATCTCTTCCACCTCATTTGGATGTGGTTTAAAAACAAGTTCAATTTCATTCGGAGAACATTCGGACGTAGTCTCGCAGTCAACATCTTGACCAGTTTCTGCAGTTTCATCCTGTTCCGGTGGCTGTGCTTCATAGCTCTCTGTTTCCTGTTCCACTTCTGATCCACCGGAATCATTTTCCATTTTCGACTGAGGACGTGGTTTTTTTCGAGGATTTCCATTTGCAGCATCACTTGAACTTCCAGGAGTTGGTGTTTGTCTAGCACTTAAATTACCTGTTGGCGTACCCGCAGCAGAAGTTGGCATACTAGCATTTTCATCTGGAACACTCTTTCGCACTCGCTGTCCCCTGTTCATTTGTTGAATTCTCATTCCTTCTTCAATACTATGGGCAAGAGCCGTTTTACTCAATTTGGCTAAGACGCGCTCTTGATGAGCTTCATATTCATCTCTGCTTGGATAGATTTTTGAAATTAACATGTCAAAATTTGGATCAGGTCGTAAAGAACGTTTAGACACCAGTTTCTTTCGACAGGTTGGGCATTCTTTGTTACCGCTCCGCAGAGCTGTGATGATACATTCTTGACAAAACCGGTGAAGACATTCTTTTGTAGTCATAGTATTTTTCAACATATCAAGACATATTGGACACATCAGTTCACTATGCAAGCTTCTTGGTGAGACAGCAATTTCTGTGTTGTCTGTAATAACCTCTTGAGGTGTTCTGTTAAGTTCATATAGACTTAATTCCCATGTTCTGTTTGTAGTTTGTGTATCTGTAGACGACATTTCAGGCACTAACTGCAAGACCTTTCAAACGAAAGTATTGGTTAAGCAGTAAATCTTAGTCTACAAAAAACCTTTTTCCTATCGTTCTTCAGTTCACTTCGGACGAAGCCTATTTTCAATTTTCATATTATGAATTAGGCCTAATCACCATGTTATTGTTACTAGAGTTAATCTGTTAGTGTCAATGTAATAATACTAACATTTTTGGCGACATATTTTCTTTTATCACAACCAATACTTGATTTATAAAATACGCCAATTTAACATTAATGTATGTAATCGATATTTTTCACAATTAAAGTAACTTAAAAATGTATAAGATGTAAATAAAATATCGGATAAAAGCACTTTGAAATTTGACTGACTTAAACGTTACTCACAGTTAGTGTTAGTATCAGGCCTAAGGATTATTTTCTTTAGGCTTAACTAACTATAGTCTAACTTTCATTAAATTTAAAAACTTAAATATTTGTTTTATTACGTCACTATCAGTATGATGCTATTACTAATGGTACATTTATTTTCAGTTTTACTTATTGTTGCTATTACCTGATTAATAAACTTTATTATGAAATGCAATGTTCTAGGTAAATTTATTGGAAAGTCAACCGTCCAACTTCGACATAATTAAATATGTTTTGAAATTGAAATGGTTAAGACGAAAAAATATTGCTTTAACTCGGATAGTAACACGATGAATGAATGTTGATTATCTAACACAAATCTTTCAAATTTTACCACATAGTTATTTAAATTAAATAGTTCCGCTTAGCCGCAATGTGGTAATAAAAAAAAGACTTAAATACTAATAAACTTGTTAATAACAGAAATTAACAGTAGTATGTCGGATGCTTATGTAAGCCTTATATATTGCCATGTAAAAAGAAGAAAGGCCAAACTAAATTAAATTGCTTTACAAATGGCGAGTGACAAAATTGTAACATTGACCTATCTAATGGTGCTAGATGTGGATATACATGTTTATTTACGTTTCAATACGGTGAAATCATGTTAACAATATATAACTAAATATAATCAGCAAAATGCCGCCAAAGAAATTCGAGGGGGATCGAATCTTAGTGTTATATATTCAAGACCTATCGCTAACCCACACGTGGACACATTGCAATGAATAATTAATTTACTGTGTCAAATTCAAATACAATTACCGTTTTTTTGTTGTTGTTTAAATAAAACATTTATTCTATTTCACAAAACAATATTTATATAGATTTATATATATATATATATGAAACAAGTATAGAAATGACTACCTGTCAGATATATATAAGAAATCAAAATGTCTCAAAGGATTTCAACAGTATCTGAAAAAAAGTCGAAATATTCTGCCAAATATAATCAAAACACTGTTGTAAGTAGTTTTAACGCAACAGTTATATACAATTTGTCACAGTCATCTTATAGCCTCCTGGTGGCTCAGCGCTAAATCTGCAGGCTTACAACGCTAAAAACTGAGTTTCGATACCTACATGGGCAGCGCACTGTTTGCCTATTATGTAACTTTGTACTTGAATAACAAACAAACAATCCGCCTTGTAAGTAACCCGGATAATACACCACAATATATTTTAAACATGACGAAAGTTATAGGGAAATATTAAATTAGTAAATTAAACTTCTTCAAACACATACCATTAATTTCAACTTTTAACATAAGGTTTGTATTCCCATAATATTTAAGAGATGGTTTAAACTAATCAGCATAATTTATATGGCACATCTTCAACTATTAAAATAAATGTAAAGTTTAATGAAACAATAATTATCTGTTTCTTTTCTTGGCGCTTTACTGAATAACTTGTAAACACGGCAGATTTTGGCTTTTGTTTTTCTTGATTGTCAACAAATGCCACAAATTCATCATACAACAGTAAATGAATTGTTGTAGTCATTGAGGGACTGAATGTTTAATAAGTTGTAATAAGGGCTACAATGATTGAAACAATCAGTAATGGTGTCTAAAATGTCGGTATAATGTGTAGTTTCAACTGTAATCACATAGGAGGTGAATTGTCTCAACATATCAAACATTCAATAACCAAGTGAGTGGTTTCTGACAAATATATATCTGATAGGTTCGGAATAAGCTCAAACTGTCAGGTATCTGACCATTGCACCAATGAGAGACTTGAGCCTAGTATTTGGAAGACATGTTAGTGATTATTTTATAGGTGGAATGAAAGAGAATAGACTTCGGATAAAAATGGCAAAAAAAAATTAATAAATACTTATAATATTAACAAACAAAAGCATGGTTGAAATGGCTGTACGTACAGTGGAAGCAAAATGCTGTTGTTGTATGTGGTTAGAATTAAGTGGTAGCAATAACTGTATTGAAATTACCTCCCCTCCCTCCTTTTAGTGGCTCAGCATTAAGTCTGAAGGCTTATAACGATAAAAACCGGATTTCGATACCAGAGGTGGGCATAGCACAGGTAGCTCTTTGTGTAGCGTTGTGCTCAACAAGAAACGACCAAACAAATTAAAGGAAATAAACTGAATTTCTAAATTTGTTTTAGTATTACTGATTTGAATGAACAACGAGATAGAACTCATACGATCAGCAGCTGAAAGATGAAACACGGAAACGAGGAGGAAGATATGGAAAACTATGCTTAACTCTTTAAATATAGAGGAATAATTCAAGCTTTTAAAGCCTTTCTCATGATCTGCATTCTCTGTGTAGCTTGCTAAGTACAAAAGTATATTACAAGTATTCCAAGGCATCCCTGCTCTGTATGATAATCGTAAAACAGTCCCATACACAAGGCAATGTACGATACAATATAAATGTTGTGGGCTATATTTTCAATTTTTTAAGTCCGATGTTAGTTAAAAGGCGTATGGCGTTAAGTTCAAGCAAAATTTGTTGGTCTGAATTTTGCGCAAAGCTACACGAGGGTTATCTTCGCTAGCCTTCCTAATCTAGCAGTGAAAGACTAGAGGAAAGGAAGCTAGTCATCACCACCCTCCATCAACTCTTGAAATACTCTTTTACCAACGAATAGTGGGACTGATCGTGATATTATAACGCTCCCACGACTGAAAGGGCGAACATGTTTGGTGGGACGAGGATTCGAGCCTGCGACCCTCAGATTGCGAGTCGAACGCCCTAACCAGCTGGCAATACCAGGCCCAAAGTTTGTTAGAGTGGGCCTTGAACGTTCTAGACGACATCATAAAAAAAAATAGTGAGTTTGTGAAGTATCTACAAACAAGGCTAGATTATAAATACGTTAATCAATGTGTTTTTCTTTCAGTTGGTATAGCGAGAAGTGAAGAGCGAACGAGTATTGAGTCGGTTTAGAATCAATCACTCAATTCTAGTCCAATGAAGTATTCAGTTTCAGTGAAGTATTTGGATCAGTGTTAGTTATCGCGTATATCCATATACTTGATCGATCAGCTGTAAAACTGTACAAGTAAGTTGTTTTTTACGTTAGTCGTGGTACATTTAGCATGATTTTCCAGTTTGAATGCCATGCTGCGTCATCGAGATCACGTGACTATTCTCACGCCCTCTAG